GACTGAGGGGCCTGTGGGTCAGGAGTGCTGAGCATGGGCAGGGCCCGGAGGCTATGGGTCAGTAGTGAGGGGCATCAGCAGGGCCAGGGGGCTGTGGGTTGGGTGTGAGAGACAAAAGCAGGGACAGGGCACTGGCATATCAGGGCTGCTCAGTGCCACAAAGCAGCAGGAGTGGGGAGCATCCGCAGCTGGAACTGCATCCCCATGAGTGAAAGGGGCAAGGGGAGCTCTGATTTTCCATGATAAAAAACCCCAAAATGCGGCACCAAAATATATGAGTATTTAGAATTTATTATTATGATTGAAGCTCTGGTAGGCTTCCAAAATGCTTCCAAATTGTAAATATTTTTCTTAAAACATTGTGTTCAGCTGATACTTGCATATATAGCAATGTTTCATTTTAACTGTGGAAAAACTTGGAATTTGGGTTTTTTTAATCAGAGAATTTTGGATTTTTATCAGAGATTTGGGGTTTTTAAATAGAGAAAAACAAGAACCCTGTGATGAAGCCCAAAACTTCAGTCATGTTTTTGTAGCTGCCTCATACTGTAGACTTGTAGCCTTTAAATGAGTATCCACCGGGACTCCTATGTCTATATCTATTAGGGCTGTGTGAAACGGCACTGGTCTGTTTCGACTTCAGTTTTGAGGTTTGGACAGAACAGTGTTTTGCTTTGAATTTCATTTTGAGTTGAAACAGCCTCACTGTTTTGCTTCATTGAAACAGTGAGACTGTTTTGACGTTTTGCCCGCCCATCCGTCTGGGGAAAGGATCAGGTTGGGGGAAGGATCAGGCAGAAACAAACTCAGCCCCATAGCGTTGGGAAAAGAAACTCAGTCCAGCTGGGCTGACTTCCCTCCCCCCCGCCTGATCTAGCGCAGGGAATGGGAACTCAGCCTAGCTGGGCTGACTTCCTTTCCCCAGCCCAATCTCAGTTTCCTGCCCCTGCACTGTGATTGGCTTCCCGCAGCCCGGTGGTGGGAGACAGGGAGAGCCAGGGCTGTGCTTCCGGCTGCTGCTGGGAGCGCAGCCCTGGTTCTCCCCTGTCTCCCACCACCTTGCTGCTGGCTGCTTTGCAACTCAAAATGTTTCGAAACTTTTGAAAAGTTTTGACTAGCCTCATTTTGTTTTGAGGCTGTTTCAAAGCCCTTTGTTTCAATTCGATTTTGCTGTTTCAAGCTCGAAATGGGTCGAAACAGCGTCAAATCGAAACAGCTGGTGAAATTTTGCATAGCCCTAATATGTAGCTACTTCTCCATAGTGCTTCCATCCAGCCAGTTGTCACCCATTTTGTATTTGTGTTTTTGATTACTCTTCCTAAGGTGTGGCATCTTGCATTTGTCAGCATTGAACTTCATCCTGTTGGCTCTAGCTCAGCTTTCCAACCTATCAGGATGCTTCTGAATTGTGCTTCTGTCCTCCTGGGTGTTTCCAGCTCTTCCCAGTTTCATGTCATCTACTGATTTGCTCAGGAAGCTTTCTATTCCCGCATTTAAAAAAATAAACACTGGCCCAGGACAGACCACTGTGAGACTCTACTAGAAACCTCCTGCCATTGCAACATAGATCCATTTATATTTATCTTTTGCTTGCCACTTATGCTAGGATATCAGCAAAGGAAGATAAGGTAGCTCAGAGTGAGGGCAAGGTCAGACTATGAGGTTTTTGAGAGGCAGTGTAAGAGGAGTGGTCAAACCTAAAGAGAGTCAAAGGGACAGCATGAAAATGGAGGTTGGACTGATGGAGTGCCGTCAGAATGCAAGTGAGGGTCAGGTGGTCAGTATGAGAGGTAAAGAGGTCTGAAACAAGTCCTAATGTACTGTTATCAGGGTAGAGAGGAAGCATCCCCTGCAGTGTGATGAAACTTATTTTAGGTTTTAGGGCTCTGTAACCCACCTCCAAAGGACATGCAAGGCTTGGCTTTCTGCCCACCTCATCATATTCGGACTCTAGTAAGAAATCCTTGTAGCCCACTTGTATTAAACCATAATGGGAAGCACAGCCCTGATAAGAATTACCCTTGCCCTCTGCCTGACCAGTCTTTGCATAGGGATGAGGTAGTGAAGCTCAGCACCTTCATTTTTGGGGTGAGCCAAGCCATCTGATTTGTCCCTTTTATTTAGAGCCTCTAGTCCCAAAGAGCTAAAGACCCTGGAAGTTTTCTCCAACTATAATCTGAAGCCAAACTTTCCAAGTGAACCTCTTTATTGCTGCCTGAGGCAAGAGGCACTGGAAAGATTCACCAGTCTCCAGGGACACTGAACATTATGTAAATCCTCTGAGGCTAGTGGGGAGGCTCCTAGATGGGGAACAGCAGCTGCTGGCTCAGTTCTGATGTGAGGTAAAGTGCGTCCTTTCCCTTCCATCCTTCTGCCTCACAAAATTAGAGAAGCAGCAGGGATAGCTGGTTAAACAGAAGCTCAGGACTTGGGGTACCTCTTCCTCACTCAATCACTGGCTTGAGGCTTTATTCTTCCATCTCAGTATCTCTTCCACAAAAAATGCATCTAAATGCATCTACTGCCCTTCAGAGCACCATCCTTTGTACAGGACTCTGATCTTCTGGGAGAGAGGTACCCTACAGTTCAAGTCTGCTTTTACTCATCATCCTGTTTCCTTACAGTTAGAATCAGCTTTCCATGGTTAGTGAAGAGACTGCAGTGTTACCTTTGTGCTACCATTCTGGGTCTAGGAGGGCCATGTGTCTTAGAGGAGTGTTCATCATAGGGGTTATCCTGCAAGAAGTGGAGTTAAACTGTTCTTCAGCCCCAGTTGCAGAACTGGTATGTGGTTTTTAGTATCTTTAATTTGGAACCTGACTTCATTCTCAAAGGTGTTCTTCTGACCAGTATTTACTATGTATGGCTTTCATTTCAAAGAGTGTCACTTCTCCAATCAGTTACCCAGAACCTGGTGATGAGATCCAGCAGATTGGAGAAGCAGCAACCTTTAAACTAAAATCTGCAGCAAAAATTTGAGAAGCTCATCCTTAATTCATCAGCCTGCAGTTTGGGAACTACAGGGATACAAATGATTCAAGTTCTGTTGTGTGGATCCCACTCAACTTCATGAGGAGCTCTGAGATCATGGGGCATTCTGCGTAGGAGCAAACTGTCATCATTTTTGTAGTTACTCTAGTTGCTCCAATTCCATGCCAGAGTTTTTGTGTGAAGGAAACAGCAAGCCTGCCTTTCTGTTCCTACAAGGGCTGGGAAGAGTATGGTGCTGCATTAGGTAGCAGTGACTGAAGCTTGTATTACATAATTTGTCTATTAATCTACTGAGAGATGAAGAGGGCAAGGCAGTGGGAGAGGTTTACATAAAACAACGTTATGAATTCTAAATTGTGAGGAACAAGATTTGTGAGGCAAGATTATACCTTTTATAGTACAGATCTGCATATTTGGGAAAGAGAACAAACAAGCTTTCTGGTGACTGTTGAGGAAAAACATACAGACATCCCAATGGACAATGCAGTGTATAATTTGCTAACTGAACAAACAGCAAACTGAACATAAGATATTGGGATGGAGAATAAATACTGAAAGTATAGCTGGGCTTTTATGGAAATGCATTTGTCCCAACCTGACTTATTCCAGTCGTGTTACTAAAATTTTGCCGAGAGAAAGCAAGAAAGTTTGGAAATACATAGAGGAGAAGAATGATGTGAGACAGAGGGAAAAATTCCTATCACTGAAGTGGAATGGAAAGATTCTGAGTCCCTGCTTTGGAAGAGGCATAACGGGGGACATGATGAAGGTATATGAAATAATGAATGGGCTAGAGAAGATAGATCATCTTTTATTTTAAATTTCTACAATTTAAGATCAAGGGGACACCGAATGCAACTGAAAGGAGGCAAATAATCTTTAAAGAGTCTGGACTCTTAATCACATCAAGTTTTGGGTTCTGTTGACCACTCATTCTTCAGGGCATAAGTCATCCTCTAACAAAGAAGTTTAGAGATATTTTCAGATTTGAAGGAACTATTGTTGATCCCCCAGTTTGACCTCCTGAGAACACACGCTCAAAATGTTACCTGGTACCTTCTGTAGCAGAGGGAATTATTGTTCTCTATGATGTAAGCATCACTATCATGCCCAATAAGTTGTAGTTTAAGTAGATTATATCGTTTAGGCAAATAACCCATCTCAAATCACTGACTTCAAGTAATTAGGAATTTGTTGCTTCTCTTACTGCTGCATGTTCCAACCCAGGAGGGCTAAGATGGAGCATTCAGAGATTCTGGATAAATTGTTAAAAATGGCATCTTCTTGCTTGAATTTAGGTTCTACCTATGTCTTTTATCTTAAAGAGCCCTTTAAAATCAGACATTATCTCCTCTGCTGGCAAGGATAGACCATAATTAAATAGTAAGGCTAGCGAAATGATATCTAGTCTACTCAAAAGCATAAATCTCGATTAAAAACCAACTGGAGTTGTAAATACTTATCCCATGGGTTAGTTTGTTAGGTAATATTCAAGTCTCTACATCTGAAGTTCTCATGGGAAAGGGTGTTTTGTGCTTGAAAGCTTGTCCAGAATCACAGAATCCTAGAAATAGAATCAGAATCATGACATAAGGATGGACGGGCACTCAGGAGGTTATTTAGTCCCACTACCTGCTGAAAGCGGGTCAGACCTTCCTAAAACATTATCTTTTCCTTCTCCAGCATGAAACATTGCTCACCTCTTTAGAGATATTATTCAGATACTGGACGTTTGCCAGAATAAAATACATTTTCAGATGCTGAAGTGAATTATTGTGCTAACCTTTCCTCTTGATCTCTTGTTGATATTTGTTTTTCTTCTTCAGCAAGAAGTGTTCCTCAATTCCTTCAGCAGATTATCTAGCTCCTGGATTCCTCCCAGAATGAATTATCGCTTCCAGATATTAAACCTGAACATCTTGATGGCTGGGTGAACCTGCTCTGGCTTGATGACAGGTGACAGTGCAGGCTTCCCTCTCCTTTCTCAGCAAGTTGCATGTGTTGGGTCCATGGGGGATGAAAACCACACTGGGACAATTCAGTTTCACTTCCGTCCACTCTCAACCCTCCCTAACATGCAGTGGCTTATTTTTGTTGTCTTTCTGCTCCTGTACCTGCTCAGTCTCTGTGAAAATACTGCCATTGCCCTAACTGTCCTCATCCACCACTCCCTCCAGACACCCATGTACTTCTTTCTGGGCAATTTGGCAGCTCTGGAGATCTGCTATGCCTCTGTCATTGCTCCCTTGGCCCTGGCTAACCACCTGCCTGAGAGGAAGGCCACCATCTCCCTCAATGGCTGTGGCACTCAGCTGTTCTTCTTCATCTTCCTGGGTGGGGCTGACTGCATGCTCCTGGCTGTCATGGCGTTCGACCGGTACATAGCCATCTACCACCCACTACGCTACACACTCATTATGAGTCGAAAGGTCTGCAGGCACCTTATAGCTGGGTCACTGGTACTGGGTTCCTTCTTTGCCCTGCAGTTTACCATATTGCTTTTCCATCAGCAATTTTGTGGTAACGATGAAATCAACCACTTCTACTGTGATGTAATGCCTATGTTACAGCTTGTGTGTGGCAACAAAGAGAGCCTTGAGGCCATTGTTTTTGCTGCTACCTTCATAACCCTGACTGTCCCCTTTCTCATGATCTGCATCTCCTATGTCTTCATTATGGCTGCCATCCTGCAGATCCGCTCTGCAGTCAGCCGTCACCATGCCTTCTCCACCTGCTCCTCCCACCTGATTGTCGTTCTCCTGCAATATGGCTGCAGCATCTTCATTTACTCTCACACCAGTTCCACCTACTCCCCAGAACAAGGCCGAGTGGTGTCTGTAATCTACACCTTTATGAACCCTGTACTAAATCCCCTGATTTACAGTATGAGAAACAAGGAGCTAAAGGATGCCCTAAGAGTGCTGTGGAGGAGAGTACTTTTCCAAAGGAAGTGATGGGTTTTAAACTGTTACGTTAAAATATTTTTTGTTGATGTGCTTTGCTTGTATTGCTAAATGAACAAGTCCTCCATGCAGGAAGACTGGCTGGGTACTCTATATATGTCTGAATCATAGTTTTCTGATGGGAAGAAGGTGTCCCCCCAGTTTAACCTCCAGGGGACACTTGCTTGATATGCAGGATAGTGTACACCTGGGCCCTAGGAAGAAAGTATGAGAATGGTGGAGTTCCTCCCTGGAGTAAGGAAAGCCATGAGAGGGTGCACCCAACATAATGGGAAAGGTTACAGAGCCCTGAGACAATTTCCAGAATTAAAGACCAAAAAAATACAGACAAACCAAAAAAATGCCAGTGAGTTGTGTCTAAAGTTTCATAATGCTTGGCCAATTAATGCCAAGTAGAACAATTCAACGTAAACAAATGTGGTATTGTTTTGTGGTAGTTGGTAGTCAACATTTATTTCATACATGCAAGTATTTCCCCAAAATATATGAACTTACATAACATTTTTCGTCATTTTATTTAGTCCCATCTAGCATGCTAATAAAAATATTGAGCACTATACAAAATCAGATATTTGATGATTAAGGCACTTTAATCTTACAAGGAAAGGCTGCATGAGAGCTCATTGTGGGAAGTTTTCACTTGACAAACATACTAAAATATGGTCCAAATTTATGAGCATTGGAAATGGTCATAGTGACATGGTGAATTCTCAAGGACTTCATGTTTTAACTTGTAGAACATAGTATCTCTGTTCCTGGCTCCTGTTGATCTCAAGGAAACAGGAGGATATTAAAGATGGTAGCAAAGTAGACTTCCCACAGGCATGGCCATGCTGGTTGAGTTAGGATAGAACAGAAACTCCTGCAGCGCTTCATTTAAAAAGGCTCAGTGGGCAGAAAAGAGGTGGATCAGGAAAGGTCAAGTACTTATTTTTGAACAAATATACTGATGAAGACTAAGGCCTATGCCAGACATACAGGTAAAGACATGATAGGATCCTATGCACAACCCACACAACTGCACTTCCTGCCATGCCGCAGGTTCATGGCAGGAGGCATGATTGTGAAATCACAAATCAGATCTCATCACACCTTATTGCCAGTGCAGGGAGAGCCTGGGACCATGATCCTGGGCTCACCCTATACCAGGAAGTAGCAAGCTTCTGCAGCTGGGAGCAGCTGATGTGGCTCCCAGCTCCGAGGGTATACCCGGACACATTCAATTAATGGTGTTTTTTTGTGGAATAACTGCATGGCTTATTCCCTGTTATCACACCATTAGTTGATTGACTATGTGGCTGGGTCACAAGTTAAGATGTGATTAACTAGTTAATTAGATCTTGCCTCCATACAGAAAGTCAAAAACCCTCAGGCTGAATTGATTCAATCTTTGCAGGTTAGTCTAAACTGCATAGATTGAGTGGATAAGCAAGTGAACAGACATTCACTTTTGATTCCAGAAATGCAGCCACATGCCTGCATTGGCTCAGGCCAGAAGTGGGGGGACACTAGAGCACGCCTCCCCGGTGGTCTAGAGCACATAGTTTGGATCAGGCTAGTCCAAGGAAGGGCAAAATTCAGCCCGCAAGCCAGATCTGGTCAGCAGTGGACTCCGTTTCCCAGCTGCCCCTGTGCATGGCTGGGGCTGGACTCCATGGAGACCCCAGCTGCAGCTGTGTGTGAAAGCTGAAGGCTGGGATTGCCATGGAGACCAGCTGCAGCCACTTCGGCAGCAGACATGGCAGAGCAGGGCAGGGGGTGCTCCAGAGTCTCTGGGAACTTGCGATGGGGGCAGCTTGCTCTGGAGTCAGGGCAAAGCCGCAATCTGCAGCCTACACACACTGTGCAGGGGTGCACAAACAGGGGATCGCAACTCTGCCCCTGCCTCAGACCAGTCTGCCACCACTGCAAGGAGCCAGGGCAGAGTTACGATCCCCTGCTCACAAGGCACTGCCCAGAGCATGCAGGCCCAGGAAAATGCCAGAGGTGATACAAGCCCAGGGCATGAAGAGGAACAAGCACTCCATTGAACAATGAATCCTGCAGCACTTATCAGACATTCTCTCCTCCTAATGCTCATCAGACCCAACAGAAAAGCACCTTTGAGGTATACCAGCAAGCCTTTGGAGTCTATTCCTAAGAACCTGAAATATGCCTATACACGTCCTGTTTGCTGTAGTACTAACTTGGTGAAACAAATTTCTAACTGGCATTCAAATCAAGGGCCTCGGCAGGCTTCCTTATACCCTGTTTGTCTGGTGGCACTAAAACATCCTTTCTGTAGTGATCATTGGGTTAAATAGAAATGGGCATACATGAATGAGAAAAACAAAACAATTACCTTTATTGTGGAGCAGCAGGCAATCTGTGCACACCCTTGGTCTCTCAACTGACTGGCTAGCTGCTCCCTAACTCAGGGACCATCTCCCAAATCCCAAATTCCTCAGTCTCTTGTTAGGGAGCATCTCTAAATTCTAACTTTTATCGATACACTTTCAACCTAGTGTGTGCTTTCATGCATCTAGCCACACATTTAACAGTCCTTTATAGTGGGTCTTTCCGAAACTTGGAACTCTTTTTTATTGCATAGCATAACACAACTAGTACTCACTATTGTACAGTCCTCTGTATCCTGGGCCTGACGTAGGTCTGTGTGTAGCTTGAAACCTTCCTTTCTCATTCTCCAATGCAAGGGAGGTTTAACAGGTAAGACCAAGGAGTCTGTTTCTTCCTGGGCAGGTCTATACATATCATGGAGTCTCAGGGTTCTTTTTCTTCTCTGCTCTTTGTCTAGACTACAGATGGTACTTTCTTCAATCTCCCTGGTCTTCCCAAGGAGTCCAGTTGCTTCCCCCTCCAAATCCCAATAGGAAATGTGTTCTGGAGGGCCATGAGTTTAGAGCTGGTTCACTTTCTCCCTCATTTAGGCTGCTGCTTTCCCCATATACTGTCCCTTCCTACTCACACAGACCCACCGCTACACGGCCATTATAAACTTTAGACATGGTTGACAGGTGACAAGGCAGGTAGTGTATGAGGACTGATTGATTATGACTGTACACAGCCACCTCATCTACATGGCAGGAGTCATTATGACCTCACCCAGGTCCTCCTCCACAGTGATCCCCAAGCTGCCCCAAGGCCCCCTACCACACTATGTACAGATCTCTACTCCTCAGGTCTTCACTGTGGTCCTCACATTGCCACAACTTATTTTGGGCTGAAGCTGGTCTTAAGCATTACCTTACAAAGTCACTGTAGGACAACAGAAGACACTGCTTGAGTTGAGGGGCAATGTAAGGAAACCACACTGAGGGAGTGATGGAAGAGAAAAAGAGGTAGTGCAAAGCAGGAGAGAAGGGACACACTGGGATGGCTGCCAGGAGAGTTTCTGGGGTGGGGGCATGAGGCAGAAAGACGAATCACTGGCAGCAAAGTATTATAGTTTCATAGTTTCATAGTAGCTAGGGTCAGGAGGGACCTGAACAGATCATCTAGCCTGACCCCCTGCCACAGGCAGGAATGAATGCTGGGTTCACAAGACCCCAGACAAGTGATCATCCAACCTCCTCTTCAATTTGCCCAAGGTAGGGGCGAGGACCACTTCCCTGGGAAGTTGGTTCCAGATTTTGGCCACCCTAACTGTAAAATATTGCCTTCTGATCTCTAACCTAACAGGTTTGATGCCTTGGCAGCAGTCACGGATGAGGGCAGAGGAGTCGGCCCTGCAGGGGACGATGCCGCTCCACGCAAGACAGAGACTGGGAGGAGAGAGAACACCAGGAGGAAGAAACGCCGGGTCCTAGTCATCGGGGACTCCCTCCTGCGAGGGCTGGAAGGTCCGATCTGCAGGCCCGACCCCATGTCACGGCAGGTCTGTGTCATGCCTGGGGCTCGGGTCAGGGACATCACGGAGAGGATCCCGGGCTGCATCCGGCCTGCAGACCGGTACCCCATGGTTGTCGTCCATGTGGGTACAAACGACGCGGCAAGAGGCAACCCTGACCGTATTATGAGGGACTTCGAGGCTCTGGGGACCAGGCTGAAGGAGATGGGGGTGCAGGTGGTTTTTTCCTCTCTTCTTCCGGTGAGGGGGC